TTTGGTTGTTTTCGTGTAGGAACTAGCCTACGAATAGCTGTTTACGTACTAACATTTGGACATTTCTTGGCCTGTTACAGTTATTGCTTAAGATTTTTTTCATAATGTAGTGCATCTTAGAGTGCTGAAATATAAAAAGTAAATCAAGTTCTCAAAACACAAACTTATCTCGAACATGATGATGCTCTGTTGTGATAGGTAAAAACCACAGCAAACGGCTGGGACAGTATTTACATTTTGTTAACCACCATGTATTGTTATTGTTAGAAATGACTAATTATTTTGTGGATGTTAAATTATAGGAAAACATTATTTCAATAACGGTTGTTCAACAATATTAAATGCCAAATCATAATATTATCAAAAATATAAATATTCGCACGACCGTTCATCGTCCTCAGAAAATGAGAGGATTTCGCAGCGCGTAAGTTGAATTTCAGAATCCTGACGCCGACTGTTGTTCTACATAGGTGTAGGTGTCTCGTAAGAGCCTCGGCTCTACTTTTTTCAGGGCCTCGCCCCAGTCGCCATTAGGACTTGCAAAAGATCCGATGTGCGTTTGTATTCGTTCTGGTGGAGCCGGATGTTCGCTGACTTTTCGTAAACTTCATATTTTCTTGACTTTCTTATTGCAGACTGCGGTTGCTTTCTCGACTTCCAGCGATTGGTGATTCAGAGAGCTACATCTCTAGATAAATCGCGAGTGTCCCCTGTAGTTTTCCACACCACTTTCCTTGCTTGAAGAGAAGAGCCTTGCATTTTGTTCCTGGCAAACTGTAAGCCACTTCTATTGAATCCTCATCAGAAATGCATCGCAGCTCCAACAATAAAAACTTCACATATGGCTGAACCTTTTCGCGTTACAATAACACCCAGTGCACAAGTGTCGGAATAAAGTGCTGGAATACCAGCGGACCTCATGACCAGCCGCTCAGGCGATTTCCCATTTTTTGAGATATTCAGATCACAACAGAAGCTGTGCTAATCCTACCAGGTGTTGATACACCAGGCCACATCTATTCCATTCTGGATAGCCTTTCGTCGATTGAATGGTTGGATACGTCCGCACCATTTGCATCCCACTCTCTGTTTCTATCTTTCTCGAATTGCAAAGCAATCCCACAGGGGTGTTAGTAGTGTCCAATTTCGACATTGTATGAGTCTTGGCATAGTCTTCAGAATATGAGAGCGTATATGCTAAGCCTCTAGGGATGGGATGTTAGCACCGAAAAGGGATAAAGTTTAAAAAAAGAAGAGAAAGGATTCCATGGAAATCACACCCGAACACAGCGGGCATCCTTCGAAACCCTAAAAGGAACATTCACAAAGCAATCCTTGCAAACGTTAACGGGAAAGTATATAAGGAAGCAAATGGGTTAGCCTCCGAATCCAAGCAATAAAGCAATTCGTCGCATCAAAATTTCATAATAATTCCAAAAATGATGCAACTGGAACGCACACTGGAATCTTACCCTTAAACCCTACATTCCTTCAAGTTTCAAATTTGCTTGCTGCTAATTTTCGCCACACTTCGTTAACCAGAAAAAAGGTAAGCCCATTCCAAAAACGTCCTAACAACATCCACAGCCTACTAAATTCAATCCCCCCTTCACTCCTTTAGGCTGGTGTCAGAGTTCGCGATCCGTCGCGCGAATCACTATCAAGCGGAAATAACATCGGGACTGGAGAGCACCTCGCAGTACTGATCAAGGCATTTGCGATTTCTGTAATGACTCTGACACCAACCTAAGGCTGTTGGCAATTTGGCAGATTGTCACCGTGCGCATATAGCTGCGACCGCTTTCAGAATTCAGTTATAGTGATTGGTGAATGGGGAGGGGTCCGTATTTAATCAAACCGACTGAATCTCCAGTCTAATTCTTTGAACCTTCGCTTCTATCACACTCCCTTCAAATTCAGTCTGCTCTGCAAAATCATCGAAAGTATGATTTCTGGAACGTACCGGGTTGATTTGCTTTTGATCGAGCAGCTGCTGTCGGTGTCTACTGTACCTTTTCTCGAAAAGATTCCGGGAACCTTGCAGCTTCCTTTGCCTCTTCTTTGATGGCTTTCCTCTTTTCACTTTTTCGGATAGTCTCTCTTGCTCTCATTACTTCCATTTCAGCCATTCAGCTGTATCTGAAGCGTGTCAGCATAGAATATCGTTCTGTAAGGTGAGCTTTCTAAATCAATCAAGAATGTAACCAACTTTGGCGGCTGGCTCATTTGTTGCTACTCGCGTTTCTGACCACTTTATGTTGCGAACATCCCAACTATACCGTTTCTTACGATTGCAATGCTAAGACAACATTACAAGTAATTCGAAGACATGGCTTATAGAAGATAATAATATAAACAACCTATGTGTGCACCCGCACGAGGCTCGATGAATAACGGGACCTAATAGAGGTAACTCTGAGAGATGAAACATTTTCCAAGAAGGAATACATAGGCAGCACTCACTTAGCATTTTGAAAGGACGTGAGTTTTTCTAAAACGCGAGTTCAACCGAGTATCCCACCCTTTTTTTCAGATTAAATGGCGCCTGCTCAACACGGGCCTGCCCTATCTGAGTATTAGTGTTGACGTTGATTTCAGCTTCCAGTGTGTAAGGCCAGACAACGCACAAACAAACGCAGAATTTGCATTCTTGTTATTTATATCTGAAGTATTTCTCATCGTAATTTAATCACTAAAGTGATTCCCTTAGTCTCGGTTCAGCTTCATTTCAATGAAATGAGCCGAGTCGCATGATGTATGGAGACCATCATGGTTGTAACTTAAAAGCGATCATGAAGAACCTCTTTGATTTGAAAAAAGTCGGAGTACACTGGCTCCCTCTGCAAAGATAAAATGATTATGATTCTACGGGAAGGTTTGAGCAAAAATTGGTCCCAACAATTTCAAGACGAAGAAAGAAAAACGTTGGCAGAAGTTGGGGCAATGACTGTAAGAGATGTGGTCTTCCATAAATATTAGGTTGGTCTCATAATTAGTGAATCACTTGAGGCATCTTTGAATCCAAATTTCATCTTTTTTTATTCGAAGCCCTTGCTCACTGCAGGAGCTCTTGAACGAAGAAAGACTGGAAGCGGTCAATGTCCCTTAGCGTAAAATTCCTCCTGAGGAAGCGCTAGAGCTCAGAATCGGTTTTTGTTGGCACGAGGATAGCGCTACACGGCGGAGATGAAAGAGCTGCTAGCCTGGGAGCTCCAAAAATTTTCATGAATATTCGCAAAGTGGGTCGAATGACCTCAGAAAAAAAGCAGATTTTCTCTTGTTTACTTTCAAATTGAATGGGTCGCTATTAAGCCGTCGACGTTGACCTTCCTCAGCGACTCCAGCATCACTGGGCGGCGGTTCCCAGCGCAAGGTCTCTCGTGTTTCACTAATATCTCGGAAGTATGGTCTTTGAAGAAGGTTCGGCTTTTGTTGTCAGAACTCCGCGAATCCTTCATGCTAGGCCACTGCTTTCTGGAGATTTGCTAGTACACTCCACCCGGACCCTACTGAATATGCTGGATGATCACTTTATGAGGGGAAACCGGAAGGAACATTTACGATTTTCATATCCTGTTGGGAGCTGATTCGGGCCCAAAGCATGTGAGACACAAACTCCATATTTAAAAATCCTTCATGACTCTACGGAAGATGCCTTAAACTCCATCATCTTAACAAGTCGGATACGCTGTATCAGATAGCGACTAGTTGTCCAGATCCAATTCTCTGGCGCTAAGTGTGCAGTAGGACTGCCGTTCAAAGGATACTTAGAGTGCGGGTCATCTCCAAATAAAAGCCACCCCGAAGTAGAGTGAACCGTAGTTGCACCGTGGATTGAGGGAGTGTGCCCTCGCCTATCGTATAACTTTCAGTCCACTTATTTGTTTTGGCATTTGAAATGTCCATCAGACAGTAATGAAGGAACGGAAGCTAACAGGTAGTTCTAGAAAAATCAATGTAATAGCTACCTGAGGCAGCGTCAAATGCGACCTGAATTCCAGTGGATAACGTGGGTGCACTTCGCAACATGTTTCATGCTTTACCATTTATTTGGATTTGTGTAGCAACAATGCAGTGATTCACTAATTATGACAACCAATCTACGATATTATGGGACAACCCAAATATAGCAAGTGCATACGAAAATACCTCTGGAACAGGCTTGACGATCCGAGTGGAAACTATGCACTTATTGTTGGGCGAGCCAATACCAGCTGAAATTTGATTGGGATCAGAACCGCCTTTTCTCCAGAACAATGCAATGGCCTGACTCCCCCAGATAAAAAATACAAAATTAGAGCAGAAGCACCTCCAACTCAACTCAGAGCTATTCTAACTCCTCCAAACGAGACGCCATCTGTTTATTAAAATAGCGCTGAGAAGACTGACGTCCCAGGTGAGAATTTAGGTAGACGAGGAGATGCGCTCACAAGAACTCATATTGTAAAAAGCAAATTCGCTATGAGGTGAGAGGAAATCGTATTAGTTAGATTCAAGAATTTTGAATAATAATGATTTGTAATGTGTTTTTGATACAACAGAAGCACAAAAAAATGCAAAGAAGGGGCTTTTTGCAAGCCCTCGATATATTGCCGGTAAACAAATTCCAAAGATAAGAGGGAACGCCCTGAAAAAAGACTGACCTTTTCTAGCTCGTCTTCGTTGAGATTCGTAATAGATCCCTTCTTCAGTGAATCGGGAGCGTTCTTTCCTTTAATCGACGGCGAATCCTTACGAGACTTCCTCTCCTCTTCAAAGTGTGACGATAATAAACCGAATGCCAGTACCGCAAGTACATACGAGAATAACGCCTTACCTGATGAACGGCGAGAGCCGCTATGACGATCAGGAGGTGAAGCAGGCACAGCCATTCTGCGAGGAGAAGGTGATCGACGCCAACGAGGAGATGGCGTTCGACGCCAACGAGGAGACGGCGACCGACGCCATGACCTTCAATTGTGAGTATGCAACACCATCATCGAGCCAGTTGAATGAAAAAGACTGAAACCTTTCGGCTCTCCAATCCTCGTATACCCTAGGAGAGCGAGTGCCTTCTTTCCTCCAGTTGTCATTCGCTGTCGTTCTCTGCATGTATTATTTTCGTTAACACTTCATAAGAAGAACCATACACGGTAGTAAACAAACAAACATCACTTGCCCACGAGTGTGTAGAAACACCACGCTTCCATGAACTGAAATAAAAAAGGATGGTGATCGGAATAGCCAGAGCCCCTTTCGCTTAAAAATCCTATTAGCAAGCTTACTCACTCGACAGCCGGCTCCATGCGACGCGCAAAGCTCGATGAACGCCAATCTTCTTCTTAATAATAAAGTGCATTTTTTGATAACCAATAACTATTAGATATGATGGAATCAGAATATACAAAAACAATATTGTAGATGATAAATCCACCTCGTATCGGAAAACCAGGGTATTCTATTCTTGAAGATCTCAGACTGTAGTCATCCCTATCATCAAAAATCGCGCGTCTACCATATCCATCATGGTGAAAACCCCTTCCGTCGAATCCAATATCGTCGCGATCAGCTCGCCCAACCTATAAAAAGAAAATAAAGTTTTGCAAGAATAATTCGACCAAAGCCTTTCTCACTATGCTGAATGCATTTGAAATGTAATTATTATTGCAAAAAGGATGTTAAAATAAATAATGAAATTCACTGCTTTGATACAAGGTGCCTTATGATA